CCCCCTGTGGAACAGGAAGACCATACACGGCAGTTCTCCGTGGTGTTGGAGGCTCTTTGGCATTGTCTTAAAGGGGGAGGAGCTACAACAGCTTATTTTAGGCCAAGGGTGATCTGAGGGGCTGTGTAATGTAAAGAAGGATTATTTCGAGCCTTCACTCATGCAAAGCTGGTCTAATAGAGGCCACGAAGAAGAAAACACTTAACACTGAGTAACTGGTCTCCTCTCTGCAGTACGCCATCGTGTTCAAAACGCCGGCCTATCACAGCACAGAGATCGAGCGGCCCGTCACCGTCTTCCTGCAGCTGAGGAGGAAGAAGGCGGGCGACAGCAGTGACCCCAAACAGTTCACCTACATCCCGCAAGTCCTAGGTGAGCCGCCACGCTGCACGAGCACGTTCTAACCAGGCGCCGCCGGTAAATCCCCACAGAGGCTCGCAGATGTTTGGGGTTAAAGGTCACAGCTCTGGGGTTTCCCACAGTGGAAACTGTTGCACAGACTTTCAGTCCTCACCTACTCACTCAGGTGTTCGTTACACAGCAGCCGTTTGTTTTCCGTCACCGTCGTCTCGTCTTCTCTCCCGCGCAGACAAAGAGGAGGTGCTGAGGAAGAAGCAGAAGCCGCTGCCTCACTATGAGCACTGGAGAGGAGGAAGAGGAGGAGGAGGAGGAGGAGCCGGGGGCTTTGGTGGATCAGGAGGAGGAGGTAGGAATGTTTCTCAGATTGGCATCAGAGGGGGATTTCCTCGCATGAACATTAGAGGAAGGCGTCAGACAAACGGGCGCGGCGCCGAGGCGTTCCTCGTCCTGAGTTTTGAATCTTCTTTCTGCAGGATTTCAGTTCCACCAGGAGATGAACGGCGCCGGGGGCGGAGCAGGAACGGGAGGCTTTTTTAATGTCTCTTTCCCTGGCTTTGGTAATGGGGGAGGGGCTCAGATGTCAGGCTCCGCCCCTCAGTCAGGTGCTGCTCAGCAGCAGACCGACAGACAGACGGGAGGACAGAGCGACTCGCCGCTGCGTCAGCAGCTCCTTCAGATCGGTAAGAAGCTAAACTGTGTTCTCGTCTCGCCGTACGCCGATGGCGTGCCGCTGCACGCTCTCTCACCTGAACCTCCACCTGTGCTGCGTTTCCAGCTGCCGCCCTCAACAGCAGAGTCTCTCAGAGCGCCCGGCAGACCGCCACCGCCCTGCTGCAGTACTGCAGCACCGGAGACGCTCGCGTCCTCCTCGCCATCCAGAGACACCTGTGTGGCATCCAAGATGGAAACGGAGACACGTGAGTGTTTCTGAGAACCAATCAGAGCACGTTTCTCCTCTGAGGTTTGTTTGGTGGCTTCACGTGTTTGTTTCTCCTCCCAGGCCGTTGCACCTCGCCGTCATCCACCATCAGACAGGTGTGATCCAGCAGCTGATCCACACGCTGCTCAGCAGCCAGCAGCAAGGCATCGTCAACACCGCCAACCACCTCCAGCAGGTAAGCTCCTCCCCCTCCTGTCTGTTCCTTCAGAAACTGGCAGATCAGGTGTTTTCAGCAGGTGAAGTCCCGGGAAGTTTTTCCTGTTTG